GGGGGGGGGGGGGGGGGAGGGGGGGGGGGGTGGTGGGGGGGATGGGGGGGGGGGGTGTGGTGACGGAGGGAGCGAGGGGGGGGAGGGGAGAGAGAAGGGGGGGGAGGGGGGGGGGGGGGGGGGGGGCAGATTTACGATCCTATCAAGCGGGGTCCTTTGTGTTGGAACAAGATGGCGCAAATTACTAAGTCGTTTAATGAGCAAAAACCAACTCGTTGTCCATTTTCATTGATCCTATCGACAGTGTGTGGGCCTGCAATCTTTCTTGCTGTTTGATGTTGATGCGCGCCAATCCTTGCATTGAAATCACCTATTATTAATAACCTTTCATCATTGGATACTTTTCAATTGTTGTTTGAAATTTCACATAGAAGGCGTTTGCACTTTCAGAGGCCTCTTTTTGTCCATTTGGATTAATTGGTGAGTAGATAGCAATGAGTGTGACATTCACAAGTTCACATTTAAGTCGTACCATAATTATTCTTTCAGCAATTGCTTTCCATATGGATTCCAAATTTTTCCATGCACAGATTGTTTGTTGATCAAAGAGATCCGCTACATCATGTGCTTGCTTGTTTTTGTTACTGCTTGATATACCTGAATGAATCATTGTGTAATCACCTATTATATTAACACCGGATTCATACATGGCTGTTTCACTAATTGCTGCCAATTAAATTCGATGTTTCTTGAGTTGTGTGACAATAAGTTCTTTTTTTGGTTTTCGAAGACACGATCGCACATTCTATCCACCGAAGATTGTATGTCTACTTCGATTTATACATCTGGTTTGATTTTATTCGTTAGTCAGAAAAGTTTTATATCTTACTAATAGGAAGCTGGCCTAAAAGTACGATTGTTCGGCTACTGGCAGCCGAGGGCGCCACTCATTTCTGCTATGCGGTCATAGAACCCTCTAGATGTTTGTTACACCTCTAGCAGGTATGAGTCACTAACTTGAGCTATGAGCTAAGTCAAGTGAGTCACTAAGTCAAATTAGTCACTAACTTGTGTTTGAAACTAAGAAAAGACTAGGTCATAATTTACGATGCTCACATCATAGTTGCATATATTGTATACATATGAATTGATATGACAAATACTCAGAAAGAGTGAACGTAGGTTATGATTATCGACAACTATATCGCTGAAACAAAGCTCTCAAACATACACGATGGGCGATATTCGACGATGTGCATTTTGATGAACTCTACATCGAGTATCTCTGTTTGGATACGGTTCATTTCAGCGACGCTTCTTTTCGCTAATGTTCATTCCGGCACGAGTTCCGGCGATTAAGTATACAACCGTGTGATGATATCTCGAGCTCATCTGTCACTTTCAATGATGGAGCTGGAGCTTGTCTGTCAAGGTCTGTGATGATCCTACGAGACCGTTTGTCACAATATGAGATGGTTCTCTGGAGCCTATTTGTCATAGTCTATGATGGTTGTTGGAAGCCATATTTCAAGATTTGTGATTGATCTGAAGGCCATCTGCCACGATTTGTGATACCTTCTACTGTGAAGAAAAAAATTAGTTTTGTAGAACTTTGTTATGGTTTCTGGTATTGGGTAAAATGCAGAACCCTTGAAATGGTTCTCATTGAAGTCAGGTTCGATCGGGAAGACACTAAATCATTTCGGATTTTTGCGCAAAATATGTTCTGTCCTTCATTTAAAGTGTACATTATTTGAATGTTTCATCATTATATCTTTCTTAGTTGTACTATTAGATTCTGTACCTGAGAAACAGTTCAGTATTACAGTACCGTCTTCTACACCATATATCTATTCTCTTATGACTATATGTTTATGACGATTGCCTTATGCATATACTTTCATAATTACCTATATCTTCATATCTAAACTCGTAGACCTACGCTCTTATATTCATGCCCTTATACCTATACTATTATCACTATGCTCTTATTGGCAGGAGATTCCGAGCGGTGGGGGGTGCAACTCATCCATTTCCAGAGAAGCTGGAGAAATTTTCGACTTGTTTCTAGCTAATTTCCACAGTTTTCTTTGTGTTTTTCTCACCAGTTCTGGAAAAAACGCTCCTAGACTGAGAATCCAATTATTTTTAGAAAGAATTTCCCAATCTGTCCCCTAAATCATCGATTCTAGCCTCAATCCTGGTGATCTTCAGACACCACTACTGATTCTTCTGTCTTTATATCTATATTTGTATGACTGCATACTTATTTCTATACGCGTATGATTATACTCTGTTAACTATACTCTTATGTCTATAACTTTTTATTCATATCTTTGCATCTATAAACTTATATCAATTTTGCTATTCGTATTGCTTTATGTCTGCACCATCGCAGCTTTATCCTTGTATACATATCTACATGCCTATTCTCATGTTATTGTACGTGTACATATTTACTCTTGTACCTAAGTCCTTATAGATTTATATGTACAACTACATGCTTCAGATTATATCCGTGCACTTATATTCATTTCATCAAATGTTGTATCACTTTTGCTAGATCCTGAGTAGAAGGATCCTTGCTGAGAAACAATTAGGTCTGGTGTTGAGTGAATTCATGGAAGTGTTTGACATTATAGACTGTTTATGAATATACATGATTGAAAGTGATGGTCGTATATGAAACTGTTTCAGTTTACGTATGCAATGACCTAGGATATTATGGAAGCCTCGTTTACAATGATCGTATTGTTATGATAGTCGTAAATGGCGAGTTTTTTAGAATCACTGTTTAAATAGTTGTAATAAACCGTGAAGCATCGTTTATGATTACCATAACAGTCCTTGTAGATGGTTGCAGTTTTTTATCAGTATATGGTCATGCGCAACTGACGATCATTGACCTTGACAAGAATATATATATATTCGGCGACAACAATATAATCAAATTTAATTTTACAATCTTTTCCTACAATTGTCTTCTCAAATTTTCTTTCACATTATTAAAGGATATGAATGTAATTGAAATAGTGATATAGATAGTATATGACACCGGCTACATGATGGATTATAATTGGAAGAGATTATCTGTCTATACTGATTTTTCATACTGAAAATGATATTTCCATGCAAAAATAGATTAAAATGATATCCAATGTTTCACGTTTCCTCATCAAGAGTTTTTCGTTAAAATGAACATAAAATATATCAATCAAAAGAGAATTTTGTGTTCTATCTGTTTTTAAAAGACGTCTTTTTCTAGACTTGCTCTTTACTTGAAAATTCTAATTTTAACCAGAAGAGTCTGGAAAAAGTGGACCATATTTTCGAAAAGAAAAAAATTAAAAAAGAAAACTTAATCGTGTTTCCGAACACTTCTTTCAAAACGATGGACGTGGAAAAACCAGTGATGTTAGAACTTCCAATATACTATTTGTTCTGTTTTGAATATTCTTTCTAATGACATGTAACGAATTCCGATAAGACAGCATTTCTAAGAAACGTTTTCACTTTTTCCCTTCTTTCAGCTATTCTCGTTAAAATCAAGATTTGGAAGTGAAGGACAAGTCTCGAAAAAATATGTCTTTTATGGAGAGATAGAGAGTAAAATTCTCCATTGATTGGTATATTTTGTGTTCTTTTTAGCTCAAATCTCTTGTTTAAGAAACCTGAAATAGTGGATACCATTTAATTGTACTGTTGCGTGAAAGCATCATTTTCAGTATAAAAACTCGATGTAGGCAGAAAGCCTCCTGCTATTATAATCCATCATTTAACCGCAATCACATACTATCTATATCACTGTTTCAATCAGATCCATACCTTTTAATAATATGAAAGAAAATTTGAGAAAACAAATGAAAGAAAAAATGTAAATATTAAATTTGTTTTAATCTTTTCTGTTAACTGTATATATATATATTTTCTGTTATTGAAAAAAGGAGTAGAAGTTTCTCTTTTTTCTTATGTATCATGAATGATAAATTGTAGGCAAAAAAAGATGATGAAATTTTTCTCACCGTAAAAGTAAACTATGGAACAAAGTTGTCAGCAATTTTCCTATCGATATAGCTAGGAAAATTTCTGAGGATTTTTTTTCCATGTATTATTTTGAAATGCTATACATAAATGACAGAATAGATGCACTTTTACAGTTGGTTGCCAGATTTATTGAAAATAAACCAGATGTTCTAGATACGATGATGATTTATTTCAATCGTATTTTGAAAGAGACAACTGCTAAACGACATAAATAAAGTAGAATTACTGAAAAAGAAAAGAATATTCACTCCATTTTCAGAGACTAAGTACAAAAAACAATATTCTCGATTGCCGAGAGGAATCGTCCAATTAGAGTAGAATAAAGGATCTTGAAGCATTAGAATGGAAAAAATGTACTGAAACAGTTCTGTCGAATGTACTATATACCGTATCTGAAAAAAGTAATTGTATCGACTTTTTGAAAAATGACTTCATAATAAATATATCTAAACCATATTTTCTCTGTCAAACCATTTTATGGTTCTGTTTTTTTGTTGAGAAATTCTAAAGAAGTCAGCAAAACTGGCTGAACCACTTTCCGCTCAGTATCTTTGAATCCAGGACCTCTTTAGCCTGTGATGGTCGTCGGGAGTCGTCTGTCAAAGTCTGTAATAGTTCCTAGAGATTGTCTGTCAGAGTTTATGGCATGGGGCGGATCCTAATTTTTACCCTGTACACTTCAACGCTCTTTTTAGATCGTGTTTCACAAAATAATCAAACTCAAAATTATTAGAAACTCATTTCAGATTTTGAGTTCTCGATCGCAATTACCTTCGTTCAAGCTTTATATAAAATCGTTTCTTACTTAAAAAAACTCTTTTTAGTGAAAACAAAATTTATTTTAACTTTTTTTGTTTTTTAACTTTGAAGTTTAAAGTATTTCCAAAAATAAAGTGCCACTGCTATCCGCGATTTCCTTCCATCAAACTTTAGAAGAAGTTACCGTTTTTCTGAAATGACCTTTCAATATTGATTAATGGCACTACTTCATTTTTTTTTCAGTTATCGGTTACTTGTCAGCTGATGGCATTAGGGTAACTGCACTGTTCTACATTTGCTTCAACAGGAATACTTGATTATTGCATTAAGGTTTTATTGTTAATGGATGATTACCAATGATAAAAAAGAAATATTTCTGGAAACTAATTAGTGTATATTGATTTGATATTTTTGAACGGTTGGATTCGAGACTTCAATAGTACACTATATACTATGTCTGCTAATTATATAGCTTCTATTTGGTTAGTATTACATGATATCTAATTAGAAATTGTGAGAATTTGTTTTTCTTTCAGTTGATAGAGGTATAAGTGCTATAAGAAATAATGAAGGTATAAGAAACATAGAAGATCATGAAAGTTATTAGTGTATATGAGCATATTGGAGGTATAGGAAGTAAAATATGTATGTGAGCTAATGGAAGTATAGGAAATAATGGAAGTAATGAAGGAACAGGAGTTCATGGAAATCATAAAGGTATAGGTGATCATGAAAGTGATAGTTTGTACCTTATAAGGCATTTCATTTAAACGACGACCCATTACCACAGAGGTTGCTCAATCGATTTTGCTGAATTTCTATTTCAACTAAATGTGCTAAAAGTACACAGATTAGTGAGTTTTTTTC